TCCCTAATTCTTTTGGCAATTAGGGGCATGAGCCATAAGACTCTGTTAGCAGTGTCTAACAAAGAAGGATGCCCTGTGTCCCCCTCCTCTTCTGCAGCCCAGAGGAATAATTCAAATTTCCTTGACTGAGACTCACACAGTTAAAATGAATGATTAAGGTACTGTTACTTTTATTACTTAAGAAAAACAAAACTCATGTCCTAAGCATAGAATTTCTCACTAAAGTGCATGCCCCATTGCTTCTTTTGCAAAGTGTAGTCTGCAAATTCTTACAACTCAGTCAAGCAGGTGCCAAATTTCAGAGCTCATAAATATTTGAGCTGAGCATCAAGAAAGCCCAAAATTCCATTATGTTTAACAAACAGCAATGAGCTAGTTTCACCACATGCCTAATGCTGTCTTAAAAGCAGGCCTGAATCCAGATTGAAACGGTTTTTGATAATGTTGTCCAACAGCCTTTGCAACTAAACAGCTACCACTTTATCAAGCATCTTAGGTAAAAAGAGGCTACTAGTACCATCTGGGTTTATAAAAGCCAAGATTTTTAAAATTCCCTCCCCTCCCCCCATACTCTGGCCATTTCTAAGGGTCCCAAAAGATTGGGGACTTCTACTTTGAGCAAAGACTGGTGGCAATTTAGGGATGTGCAGAACTCTTCAATGAAACATTGTTGACCCCATCTAGAAACTCTGTTTACTTTCCTGAAAATCTCTTTGAGATTTTGCATAATGTTTGTAACTGGCCTCAATGTCTTATGTCAGGCCATAATTTAAGTAACTCTGGACTAGGTTAGGAAAGAATATGCAAAAAATATTCAAAAACTGTAAGAAAATTGTTTTCTAATGTGTAAGGAAACCTTGACAAGAAGAAACTTAGATAAGCAAGAATCTTCAGAAATAGGGGCTTATTGTGCATGAGAAATGCACATTCACATGCAGCACGTTTGCTGCACAGAAATGCCATTTTCTGAATAAAAACCCCACATGTATTTATTTGGTCTTTTTTTGCACTTGCATTTTTCAAGTTCAAAGCTGCAAATAGTTCTCTCAGTTATTAAAAAAATATAATATTATTTATTCCTGTCTGTGAGAGTGACATTTATGAAGTCATTTTTTCTAACTACCTAATGCACTTTTATGAAAGCACCCTTGTCACATATGAAAATGCATGAGTAGGTCTCCTGTTTCTCTCTACAAATATTTGCTTCTACAAATACCAGTAACTCACCACTAAAGGGGTGTGTGTGTTTCCCCCCTGGAGTGTGGGCTTATTATTTCCTTGCTAAAATTAAAAGTAGATCCAACCACCATGCTGTATGGAGGATAGTAATGGGCTCTGGCCCCATCTTCTGCTCTTGATCAGAGAGGGAACCCCAAAGTCTATCTAGCTGCCATGACCACCATTTCACACCATGTGATTCATTAACTTAGTGGAATTTACTGGAAGGTTTAACCTGCACTTTTTCCACCTCTGATTCTGCAGATTTTTCCTCCCCCTCCCAAGGGAGATGGGGATCCTATATGCATGTGTGTGCACACTAAAGCATGTGAAAAGAATGTGAAAAAGAGTTCTTTAAAGGAAAGCTTTTATCCTAGGAAAGCAATCTTATGTCAACCAAAAGGATACCTTGTACATGAAGACATCTTCTTTCATGTGTTACTTAGAAGCAGTTACCGTACAAAGTTACAAAAACAGCCTACATCATATTCAGCCAAGGTGAGATGAAACATAAGACCTAATGTGACTAGCCGAACATTCCTACTCTACTCACAGTACAGATGATGTTCTGCGTCTTTGGAGATTCATGGGATGATGGGAACCGGAACCCCTTTTCCAGCTACAACCAAGATTCCCTAGGGATGGTGAGGAAGGTGGTACCTTGCCTACTTCTCCATCAGTCCCAAAGTTTCTTTCTTGTGTCTTGAGACACTGTGTTTTATAACTTCTCACTTTGAAGTATCTCTGTACTTCACACTTCTCCCCAAGGTGGTCATCCTTGCAGAAAAATTGTCTCTCTTCAATTCGTTTGCTATTATTTGAAACTGTTGCCAAATAAATGTAACCTAAAACCATCACATTATTAACCCTTTGTTTACCTGGAAGAGACATTATCACAGGGGGTAAAAATGGATTTTATCAACAGGTTGACCTACCATACTAATAATCACTGTGGTTCAGAAAGAGGCTAACAGATAGTGCTCCATTTCTGCAGGGAGGTGGACTACCTAGCAGCACTCAGACTTGAATGTCAAGCAACGTTGAAGGGAAATGGGAAACAGTGCAATTAACAAATAAGTGTGATGAAATAAACCCAGGATACATTATTTGCTGCTGCTGTGCAGCACTGATAGCCAGGATGTGCAACCTTTGTCCTTTCAGATTGTCTTGGACTAAAATTCTTACAATGCTTATGGCCATAGTGCCAGGGGGAAGAGTTTCTGGGATTTGTAGACCCAAACATCTGAAGGACCAACATCTGCCATTTGTTTAATGTACAAATGTACATGTTTTCCAGGTTACAATTGGGTAAGCACTCTGGATTATGACTCTGGAGACCAGAGTTCAAATCCTAGCTTGGCCATGTCAACCCATTGGGTGACCTTGGGTGAATCACACTCGCTCAGCCTCAGAGAATGGCAATGGCAAACCCCCCTCTGAAGAAACTTACCAAGAAAACCCTGTGATAGGTTTGCCTTAGGGTCACCATAAATCAGAAAAGACTTAAAGGCACACAGCAACAAGAAACAAAGCACTCATTGTAGATTGTCCAGAATTAATGTAAATTTGCCAGGATGCCTTATTCACTAAGGACCAAATTATTTCTCAGCATCATGGCAGCACATACTTTTCAGTCTAGTGCCTTTCTGTTTGATATCTTTCTTTAAAGAGTTAATATATTGTCAACTATAACAAAAAAGGGGGAAAAATTCCAGTTTCTTTCAAATTATAGAGAACTCTCTTGTCTTTATTGAGATTTGAGTATATTTGCACTTTAAAAGCTTCTCTCCCCCCAACCCCATTCCTCATAACAATAGTGCAGGTGCATTGCCCTTCAGTGTACATTGTATTTATCCTGGGAGGCAGGAAGTTGGTTTCACACCTGTTTCTTCTTTCTGTTTGCTCTTGGCCTGGCTAATTTTCTGAATGTCATGATTGGTACAGCTGAGGCTGTCAAAGAGAATTACCACTTTGCAACATGATGGTCTAATTCTGGCAGTTTGGATCTTATAACAATTTGCTTTTTTGTTCATCCTTTTTGTAACGGGGCTTTGTTGTGTAAACAATACAGAACATAAACTATGAGTGGTAGCAAAGAAAAAAGAGACAAATAAGAGTAAAAAAAAATTGCCTTATCAGACAAATGATGTTTTTCTAGAGATATTATAGGAAATGAAATTACAGGCTCTATTTTGTTGATCATATTTTTGCTGTGGGGAGAACTGAAAACTGGCTTGCCTCTGGAAAAGGCAATTCAAAGTACAGAACTTATTTGTTAACAAGACAGAAGTGAAGTGAAGAAGAAAAACCTCTGAAATAGGTGGAGAGGAATAACTTAGAGATATAAACTTCAGATAAACTACCTGTAGCTCCCAGTACTCTATTACAAGAACCCTCTTCACTTTTCTACAGAAAATATCATCTTATTTCTGAAAAAGGTAGTAAAAGTGGCAGTTGTCAAACTAGCTCTGTATTAATAAAGATGTTGGAGAACTTTAGGGTTGTGAACATTATGAGAAGACTTCTCTTTCAAATTCAAGCTAGTCAATATTACTTATACCATATTCTAAATATGGATCAAAGAGACATATTTTTGCAGAATTCATTGTTGTTATTATGTGCCTTCAGGGCAACTCTAATAGCAGCTGTATCACAGGGTTTTTCTTATCTAGGTGCAGGGGAAGTTTGCTATTGCTTTCCTCTGAGACTGAAAAGGTGTGATTTGGCCAATGTGGGCTTTTGCAGCTGAGTAGGGATTTGAATTCTGGACTCCTGAATTCCTAGTCTAATAATTAAAGAAAATATATAGACAAATTGGAGTAGAAAATGAAGTAATTTCAAATTCTGACACTAATTCCACTGAAATTAATTCCACTGAAATTTATTCAACTAAAGAACCCCATTCTTTCAAAACAAGCCTTAGTTTCACGCCATCATTCAAACTGGGTAACAATTCTGAATTCTTATTAGAACAGAAGAACATTTACAGTTGTCCAGTTTTGAACCATGTGAAGTGAATTATTAATTTTAAAATAAATTTTAAGCGAGGAAACCCCCTTCAGTTTGGATTTAATCAGAGATTTCTCTGATGAGCAAAAATACTTCAGTATATCATCATAGATGTGTAGTTGAAAAGGTCAAAGACCATGTGTTTAATTTCAAATGAGTTTTTGTGTTAATTAAATGTTAGGGATTTATTGATGTTAATGCTTGGAAACTGAAATCACCTTTTGTGAAATAATCTGAGACAGACAGTTAAATAATATCCTGTGATGTTAAGATAATTTACTGATATTAAATTATTGAAATCAGGGGATTAGGTTAAGATAATTGTTATGACCCATGTGTATTAGTGCTGTGAATGACACAATGGGTAAATATTTTCTAATTGTCATGATCTAATAGGGAAAGTGACTAAGGGCCTTTGCAAACTGCCAGAAATAGCGCAAATTGAGTCCACTTTAAGGGTTAGCGTTAGGGAATCATTGGAACTGTATTTTATTGTGGCACCAGAGCTCTCTGACAGAGAAGGTTCAATGTCTCAGGGGAAAAAATAACAATTCCCATGACTCCCTAGCACTAACCCTAACCCTTAAAGTGGACTCAATTTGCACTGTTTCTGGCAGTCTGCAAAGACCCCAAGTCATGCCCAACTAATAGAGACCCTAAGACAAATATTTCACAACATTTTCTTGGCAAGATTTGTTCAGAATGGCATTGCCATTCCTTCCTCTGCGGCTTAGAGGGTGTGACTTGCCCAAGGTCGCCCGATAGGTTTCCATTGCCAAGTGGGGATTTGAACCCTGGTCTCTGGAGTCCTAGTCCAACACCCAAACTGCTACACCACACTGGCTGTCATTTTCTTTCCCATACACTTGCACGTATATAGTCATTGTTGAGTTATTGATACCTTTCTTGTCAGTTGTATAAATGTGGGCTGCTACATTTCAGATTTTGAAACATCCCTTTACTGGACTACAACCCACTACTGCCAAGGACAATGGTGGCTGGGCACACTGGGAATTATAGTCCAAAAATTAATACCATGAAAAGCTCTGCCACAACTGTAACATGTACAGAGATATGAAAGTGATGATGATACAGAAACAAAACATCTTCCATGCAGAATAGCTCAATTTTTAATACCCATGTACCAGATAATGGAAGTGCTATTGGCTCTTAAAGGAGAACATTTGCATTTGGTGTTTGTAAGCAAACTGTTGCCCACAAACTATTATTGTGGTGTATGTGTACATTCAAGGACAGGTGTTTCAATTATACTGATTGAGTTTGAAAGCCTGATAATTTATTGCAAATAACAAGCATCAGTAAAATGAGCTGATATACAACAGCATGACTTGCTGGTTCTCATGACATTTATCTCGAAATGTAATATAAAGTAAGTCATCACTGACTTATCCCACTAAAATAACACAGTCCTGTATGGAGAGAAAGATAATCTCGGAGAAGACAGGTGGTATAAAACCATGGCAACAAGAGGAGTGGGCAGTGTGGAGCAGATCTCTCCATATGTATCATTTGATCCTTCCTGAAATGTAAAGTACTCTCTTAATATAGAGATGATCATAGTAAATCCAGTGTCCCTCCTAGCCTGTTTTTACTTTCTGGATGTCATTCCTCCCCCCCCCCCC